GATAGAGAATTCGTCTACCAAACGGGCAAGAATTTCATATTAGCATGTATCAGTTGCAGCTTATAGCCTTAAATTCACAGAATTTTAGACTTTTCCTGATTGTGACCCTAACCTCAGCTTATTTTATAAAAAAATGAACATGCTAAATGGGAAGTAGGAGAATCAGAGGCTTTTCATCATCGGTCTTACTGCATGTTCAGGCGAACATCCTTCGATACACAATATATGAACTCTGGAAGAGAATGTTTCAATTCTCCTGAGTGTGAATAATGGGATTGGAGAATTCCTATTTAAACGAAGGCAATAAATCAAACGTTTAGATTTAGGATGCAATCCCATGCAGCCCTGACCAGACGATCCTTTTAGAGTAACACGCAAAGGAGAGCCAAAAATCAACCACAGTCTATTTTGGTAACTTTTCACTACAATCTCCACTAACCATAAGAATAGTACCGTGGTTCCAAGCGAATTGGCGGGTCGCAGATAATTCATCAACAAACCAAACATTCTAGAAGACTTCAACTGATGCAACTCGGTATCTTGAACGCCTTTTGATGATGTCCAGGTCTCCGGTCGGCCTACGGAGCCATCCGTTTAAAAAATGAAGCGTAGTAGCAAGTAACATAAAGCAATGGTCAGTTATAGTTGGTCATATAAATATGCTCTGAAATGTTTTTATGGCCCTTGTCTCCGAGGCTACCAGTCTGAACAGAGAGTTAGTCCAACGAGGTTTTCGAAAATTGCTTGTGGTCTAAGGAAGACGTTGGAGAAGGTAACATATATACATATATAGTTATAGTCATCTTAGCTACTATTCCAAGAAGTTTTGCCCAGATCATTATTGATAAGCGATATAATTAGCAGAGACAAAAAGTATAACAAAACAACAGGAACTAATGAGAACCATAATAGAATTAGGACAATAGCCTCAAGCACAAGCCTACATGAGTATACATTAATACCCATAATGGTTAAATTCTACATGTGAACAATTATGCACAAGCTCATATAACATTCTTAGGGGACTATATGATTCCAAGATTTGGTTGTAAAAGCAGTCAGGCCACTTATTAATAGAGAAAGTAGGTGCTAATAAAATAAGGGTCATATAATCTTGGTATTTTTACTTAGAAAAATGAGCTGGTCTATAAATTAACCAGCAACGAAGCCTATTAATAAATAAGCATCCGTACTTAAGCAAAGAATACACTGCTTTTTTACATTCTCTTTGAACTGCTGCAAATTACTAAGTCAAGCTGAAATTTAAAAAAATAAAGACAGCTCTAGCGGCTACAAAAAATTAGGGCTACAATGTTTTTGGTTTCTTTAATATAATTTATGTGATCGCCTTATCTTCGCTCATAAACCTTTCAGTCAAGCATCAAAGGGCTTACCGTACGTACACAGATTCGACACCGACTCTACATAATCCACCAACTTATTGACTCACCACTTCATCCTCGCTTCCGCAACCGACTGCTGGACATCGCAGCTCACTTGGAGCGCGGTAACGTCACGTTACCAATACTGGAAGCGCTACCGCGAGCCGTTGGAGTGGAAAATACAAAAGCTACCGAAATCACACTTGAAAAAGTAGAGGTGCGTGTGGATACGTTAAAAGAGGGCCTCTATGCCGCCTATCTAGCCGATCTTCTGGTTAGGTGAGCTAATTCATTTTTCTCTCTCTTTTAAAATATTGTTTTATTTGCTAACTTAAAAAAGCCACAAATTGCCTCGATCGTAATTAAGCTATTCAATAATATGAGATGTATTCACCCTATTTCGTCTAAGGTGATGAAGGACTGGTAGTAGAATTTTCCCAAAATGATATGAGTAGAGCTGACGCTTCCATTGAATTTCACATAGCCTTGCTTTCCCAAAAGTTGTTCTTATCCAGACTGAAGTAAACTGCAGTTTCGACCTCGCATCGGTCTTATCAACACCCTCATGGGGAGTCGAACCGCGACAGTGCAAGATGGCAGTTTGGCACACTAACCACTCGGCTACACAGCCACGAGCGCTGATTTACTGGTAGTCTCGGAACTCTACTCCAATACGAAAATAAGTAAAGTAGTCGATTGTTATAGCAAATTTAAGTTTGCTTCATCGGCACTCCCACCAAAGAATATGACCCGAGGGCACTCGTGGCAATGTGGCCGAGTGGTTAGCGTGTCAAGATCCCATCCTGCACTGTCACGGTTCGACTCCCGCTGAGGGTGTTGATAAGACCGATGAGTGGTCGAAACTGCAGTCCACTGGTGCCTGGATGAGAACAACTTTTGGGAAAGTAAGGCTATGTGAAATTCAATGGAAGCGTCAGGTCAACTCATATCATTGTGGGAAAATTCTACTACCAGTCCTTCATCACCTTAGACGAAATATGGTGAATACATCTCTTATTACTGATTTACTGGTAGTCTTGAAACTCTACTATAATACGAAAATAAGCTATTCAAATTTGAGAAAAATGAATTTCGAGAGAATACACCTTGCGAAAGAAAACTTTTGGCGTATGTAAGATTATTTCTCGGCCCACTTTTACTAAAATACTCCTTAACCCGTCTCTATGTGTTTTTTTATCCCTTGTCATCGCAAAAGCATGCAAACCAATATTTTAAACTATTATTTTTGAATAACCGTCAACTATGGCTTAGCGGTTATCTCAATTCTGGGACCGAATAATATAATGCAGATAAATAAAATCGATGACATTTTAAGTGATACGAGTTAGAAGAACCTAGTTACTCCTGCATTTATCATTATATCCTTCTCTTAACCTCGAATATAGACACAAAGGGTATTGGATTCTTTACGCCTTAAAGCATGGTGGTGCATCATTATTTTTGATAGACCCATCTAAGCCTCGATTATCTCTGACAGAGATCCTAAAATTGAGAAGCTACACTCCTACGTTGTTAAAATGACTTTAAGATTTGCCTTAATGAGGCATTAGCAGACTAATTTAATTAATTTCCTTTTATTTAACAAACAACTTTATGTAGAGAGAACATAGAGGACTTTATTTAACTTGATGATTCACTTTATTATTCACCTGTTCCCCGGGCTTCTTTACGTAG